GGGGGCGGCGGGGACCCCGATAACTCTGAGTCAGCGCCGGGAAAGCCGTATTTTCCGATTTGGGGCTGGTTTCTCCCACCCCCTCAGCGCGTTTGGAGTAGCACTTTGCTGTGGGGCTAGGAAATACTGCAGCATGGTCAAAGGAAGTGATCAACCGTGAAGCCACCTGGAAGCAGCTGATATAAAAATTAACTTAAAAACCACCAGCAAAGGCAGAAAAACCCTCCAGAGGACTTTGAACCTGTGGTTTGTTTGGGAACTCATCGCTGGAATTTGGGGCAGTTGCTTTTCTGTCTGGTGACCAGCAGCCATGAACTGGAAACTGCACACCAAGTGGATGCACCTACTGAGAAGGCCAACGGCATCCTGGCTTTTATCAGGAATGGTGTGGTCAGCAGGAGCAGGGAGGTGATCGTGCCCCTGTGCTCGGCATTGGTGAGGCCGCACCTCCAATACCGTGTTCAGTTTTGGGGCCCTCACTACAAGAGGGGATCCCTGAAGACCCCCACCATTGAGGTGCTGGAGCATGTCCAGAGAAGGGCACCAAAGCTGGTGAAGAGTCTGGAGAACAAGTCTTATGAGGAGCGGCTGAGGGAACTGGGGTTGTTTAGTCTGGAGAAGAGGAGCCTGAGGGGAGACCTTAACGCTCTCTACAACTGCCTGAAAGGAGGCTGTAGTGAGGGGGGTGTTGGTCTCTTCGCCCCAGTAACAGGCAATAGGACAAGGGGAAATGGCCTCAAGTTGCGCCAGGGGAGGTTTAGGTTGGATGTTAGGAAAAATTTCTTCACTGAAAGGGTTATCAAGCACTGGACCAGGCTGCTCAGGGAAGTGGTGGAATCACCATCCCTGGAGTTATTTAAAAGATGTGGTGCTTGGGGACATGGTTTAGTGGTGGACTTGGCAGTGTTAGGTTAACAGTTGGACTCGATGATCTTAAGGGTCTTTTCCAACCTAAATGATTCTATGAGTCTACTTCCTACACATGCACAGCAGGCTAGTGCAGTTCCAACGTGCACGTGTGCACACACAAAAACTCACTGGTGCTTTTGATGACTCCCAGCTCTGGCCTCCCCCTGTATCTAGCAAGGAAAATGCATTTGATTCAGGTGGGGAAGAGTCAAAGCACCATGTGCTGGATCGGGCTGCCTGCACATGAGAAGAAAGGACAGAGTGAGACAGTGGGCTGCTTTCATTGCCGTTGGTATTATGGGATCCTTGCATCAGGCGTTGCATGGGCACACAGAGGAGCCTTCACACTGCTTAGTTTTAGGCACCTGGCTTAGGCACTGAATTCAGCATTTGGTTCCCCCACGGCTCTTTGTACAGTCTTTGGAGGAGCCTGTCTCTCCCCATTAAGCCATTCAAAGCATCTTAATTAGAGCTTTGCCCTGAATCTGAGGTTTCTGAGCAGCTGCAAGGGCAGTGGCACATGTTCTGTGAAGGCGGAGAGGAAGATCGTGAGAGCTGAGAAGGCTTGTGGCAGCAGGACTGCGAGTGCCCTGATTTATAACTGACTATAACTGACTCTCTTTCTTGGCACTGATGATGGATATAGCCTAAAGAGAGCTATCTCTCACCCAGGGGACCTGTAGTATCAACATCCCACATGAGTAATTCCTTTTCCAGTGTGTCCACTGTCTAAAGCCGTTCCCGTTAGGAAAGGCTGTGCCTCTTTGCAGTTCAAGGCAGAAACCTCCACCTTACAGAAATCAAAATGAAAGGGAAGTGACTGAAAGGAGGTCCCCTGCCTGCTCCCAGGTGAGTGCTGGGCTCACTGTCCCTACAAACGTTCTCAGGGCATGTGAAAAACTGCTGCTACTCAGAAGCTACGGAGCAGTCCTTGGCAATCCTGTACATCTTATCCCAGCCCCTGTCCCCATCCAAGCAATGTCTGCCAGCAGAGAGGTTGCCACAATGACACATGGGGCAGCCACAGCAGTTAATACTGACAACGGCCTTTGAATGTTTTTTTCCCAGACCACGTTTCCAAGCCTTCCTTCCCCCGTTAACTGTGCACCCCCGCAGGCTCTGTGACTCCTGCTGCTGTCTGCAAACCATAGGAAGAGACGACAACCCCACCTCAGCCAGCACCCCTGAGCGCTGCTACGCACAGTGCCGTAGGAGATGCTCCACAGAGCGGAGCCTTTCCCTGCCCGTGGGCCCATTTACAGGTGCTACTCTGCTGTTTAAAAGCTCTGCGGATCCCCCTGACCCCGGCGCTGCGCCGACACCTCTACGCCCTTCCCTTGCTGACGGCTGTCTGGGAAGGGTCACGTCACAGCCGGTGTGAGATGACTCTGTGCGCCTGCTTGCTGGGCCTTGGCGAGAGCCGGGAAGGCAGGAAGCCTCGAGGCTCTCGTGCCGCAGCCGCCTGCCATCACTCAGTCTGCCCCTGTTACCCTGTCAGCTGGCGACTGTTTAGGAAATAACAAAATTGATCTCGATTGTGATTCGGCTGCCTGGTTTAAAAAAAAAATATATAAAAGGGGGGAAAAAAAAAGAGCTTTGTTAGTTTAGGCCGAGAGGGATTAAGCCAGGCTCTCTGGGAGAAGAGTGCTGACTGCTGGCGTGGAAGTTTCCCCACTGCCTTGTGTTGGCGTTAGCAGCTGGGATCGGTGGGGAACCTCCCGCTCCAAGCTTTGATACCGGGAGCAGTTATTAGAAATCATGGGTATTCGAAAGTACTGCAAAAGGGAAAACCCACAGGTGTCCTTGGCCCAGAGTAACCAGTCTGTGCAAGCCGTGGAGATGGTGGCTGTACAGTGGTGTCACATCTGTGCGGGGACATTCCTGTGGCAAAGTGGGGAGCAGCGGCAGAGGGCCCTAGGTGTCAAAGTAGCATGGGGTGCAGGTTTTGAGGTGGTGAGGGAGCTCCCACATCAGTATGGGATCTCCACAGGTCTGGAAGAATTTCCAGAAAAGTCTTCCTCAAGTCCATCAGTCATGGGGGCTGTGAAGAATTGCTTTCCTCCTGAGCAATGTTACTCTCCTTACCCACTTTTTCATGGGTGCCTTCTACTTAGCCTCTACCTCTGGTTAGGTACTACTGAAACCGCAGCTGCTGCTGTTACCCCAAGGTCTGCTCTTAGAGCCAGGGAAGCAGAGCTGTAGATGTCCAGTTGTGAGGCATCAACTGCATCAGTGTAAGCTGCATCCTGATTGCTGGCCTTGTGCTGCAGAAAGTGATCTCATCCTTGGGGGACTCCTGGAAGACACAAAAAAACTCTGTAAAATAAGGTGTGAGTCCTGGGGTGGGAGATCTGTGGATGTTTTAGCAGTTGATGTTAAGTGCAGGAACTTTCCGCTATATTAGAAGACCATGCCCTGTGGGAGCGATCCCTGCACGCACCTGGCTGAGCAAGTGCATGGGATACCTCCGCACAGTTCCAAGCACCGAGCTTCTTTCCCACATTAAAACTGTGTATCGAAGCTGCTGGAGCGCATTCACCTCAGAGCGTGTACACAGAGCGTTCACGGTGAGGTCTCTTGCATTTGTGCCCATGCCTCCACCTCTCCTCTGTGCAGAGCAGCCTGTAGCTCAGCTGGTTTTCTTCTAACTCAGGCATCCGTAGCTTTATGCTTTGTGCTGCCAGAGCACAATCATTTACATAAGGATTTTTTTTTTTTGTCCTGGAGGTTCTTGCAGACAGGATGGGTACGAGGGACTTTGTCCTGCCAGGCAGCTATATAAAGCACTGAGTGATTCAGCATTTACTGCGCCCTACACTGATTCCTCTGTTATCATACCAACAGGAATGCGGGGCTAGAAGGGATCTCCTAGTCATCATCATATTCCCCAGCTATGACAAGCACTGAGTCATAAAGTCCCTCTTGTTAATTTATCACAGTCCATCTTAAGAGTCATCAGGAATTTTCTTGGCACGTTATTCTAG